CAGTTCTTTGGTGAAATATATAGGTACAATAGGTACCTTCTTTCCCTGTAAATTTTGGGGGTTACTCCACATCAGGTATCTCTTGTGCTGTGCTGTATATTGCAAGATCAGCAGTAACAACGGTATGATTTTGTCCCAAAGATTCAGGCTTGTTTTTTGATTTCACTAGACGATGGTTAGGATGGTATTGTAGCTCGCTGGTGGAAAATTCAAAAACGGCATAGGTATATTATATTGAATGGTAGATACCGGAACTTACTTAGGAGGATTATCAGCAGGTACTTATGCTGTTAAAGTCAGTATTCTGGTCGTTATCTAGTGATAGGTAAACCTGGTGGTCAATCATTTCTAGACATGCCGTCTGCATGATCTCGAATTTAAACTTAACTTAAATAATTTAAATATGTCGTCATCTCAATAGGTTCAAAACTTTTATGAGTTTATTTTTTCCCCCCGGTTCTTTTGAAATGTGTTAAATTCAACTTTCAACTTTTAATGTAATAATTCAACCCTCCCGTTGGTTGTCTTAACTAACAAGGCTTGATAATAATTCGTTTTGAAACTTAGGACAACCTTTCCGGTTTAACCACCCTTCAGGTTTTTTCACTTGGCTTCGGCCAGTTAATAATTAAAAAAAAACATGTTCGTCTTATTCGTCTTCAACGTTTGTAACTTACCGTTTTCCTGTTAAATTTCACATCGCCTGATGATGGCAGTACGCCGAAACTATAGTCGCTTTTATTTTTAAAAAAACTTCAACGAATAAAAACTATATGGGGAAGGTTTAGAGAGTTTTGATCACACAATATTTTTCAACCCCCATTTCGAGGAACGATGGATCCAAACACCAAAAAAAAAATCCATGTATTCGTTTAGGAGCCACCCTCAAAAAAGTGGTAAAGTTTCTTTTTTTCTCAGCAACAGTTACAGAGACTGGTGGTAAGTCTTTGAATAGGTTTTGCTGTATGCCCTTTTCGGTTTTGCAAATAATTTTTCAAAATTCCTACCGCAAAAGGGCACACCCCTCAATAGGGGTGCGAAAAAATGTTGATTTCGACGAAATTTGGTATCTGGTGGTTTTTGAATCTGAAATTAGTTTTTGAAAATTCGAAAAAAATAATTCCACTGCAATTCTTGACCGGACAACGAAAATTGACAAAATTCCACGAAGTTTGTTGTCTAGGTACATACTTACGGAACAAAATTATTGAACAGTTTTTCTTAAGGTCATTTTTCAAACAAAAGTTACACTCTGACTCATTTGCAAATTGGTCTTTCGGGTCAGAAAATGTTCTCCGACAGTGGCATAACAAGTACAGTAAACGTCAATATTACATGTTCTGCTAAGGGTGTCTACCTACATTTCACAAAAATTTGTCAAATATTCTATCACAGCGACCATTAATAACTTCGACATCAACGAGGAAACCGTCACAGAATGAGAATAAGTAGGCTATATTCTGTGGAAACAGACGAAAAAAATTCAACGCACAGTCTTTTTTCAAAAGCGAGATACGTCGACAGAAGAAATCCAAATTCCTCGTTTACCTATCACTAGATAACGACCAGATAACTGACTTTAACAGCCTAAGTACCTGCTGATAATCCTCCTAAGTAAGTTCCGGTATCTACCATTCAATATAATATACCTATGCCGTTTTTGAATTCTCCAGCAGCGAGCTACAATACCATCCTAACCATCGAACTTGCCTTACATGGAAAAAATTTAAAAAGAAATTGTACGATTATCTAGTCAATGGGTGTTTCTACAACATACAAGAATTTTTTATATCTTCCAATATTTAATTGTTTGTTTAACTGTTCGTTTGTTTAATTAATGTTATATTGACTTGTTCCATACAAATGTTATTTGTCGAAGGAATTAAATAAAAATGAATGAATGAATGAATGAATCGTCTAGTGAAATCAAAAAACAAGCCTAAATCTTTGGGACAAAATCATATACCGTTGTTACTGCTGATCTTGCAATATACAGCACAGCACAAGAGATACCTAATGTGGAGTAACCCCCAAAATTTACAGAGAAAGGTACCTATTTGTACCTATATATTTCACCAAAGAACTGAGATACATGGAGTTAATGAATTGTTTGAGATTTTACAATGCAACTCGGCGGAATGCATTTGTAAACTAAACGGCCTAAATAGCTAGTTTTGGTATTCGGAGAGAAATTTCTTAGTAAAGTAAAATCTCTTAAGCATCGCTCCTTGTTTAGCGAACGCTGCTGACTATCCTTCCCTCTCCGTCTCACTCGCGATTACCGACTCGGCGAGGTCGGTAGGTTTTTACTTAAATGAGCGTAACTTTTTTATTATGAAAAATTCACGGTAATGTTATAGAAAATAAAATAATCACAATGCTTTGGAGCATCGAATGAGCTATAAATATTGGAAATCGATATCGTGAAATAAAAAGTTATGAGAGATCAAAGTGCGCACTTTTCATCTGCTACACGAATTTTGGAAGTTGACGGTCATTTTTCTAAAAACTGTGCATAACAAGGTAGGTAAATATGAATGCTTTAGATTCTGCTCTAAATGTACTTTCATTTTACAAAAGGAATTATTGATGTATATCGCTTAGTTGCTGAGAAAATAAATACTTTCGGTTGTCTAGTCGCGCGCGCGAAAGTGTGTAAAGATCAACTTTAGCGGCCTATAACTTTTGTCAGGACCACGGGAAAATGTCGTAAAGCGAGATTCTGAAGGTTCAAACATTTCTGAACAAAATGGCGTGGGTCCCAATTCTTTCTACTCCGAAAAAATTTTTTGAACGATTTCGCGGCTCTCTCCGCTGCACTATATGCAATCGATGGCAATCCACATATTGAAATGCCGTCTTCACGTATTACTTTTCCTGATATTTGCTTTAAAACTCAAACTCTTACATCATATTTTCGCAACCAATGAGCAATTCCAGTAATAATAAAATAAAGAAACACTCAATACACGTTTTAATAAGTTTGTCGCTTTCAAGGGTGTTGGAAAAATAAAATCATTACGTATTGTCGTTTACACCATTTGTCTATATTAGAGAATTCGTTTCGGTCGTATTGGGCCATCTTTGCTCGTTATGATTCAATACTTGCGTCACTAACTGCCTTGGCAACCTTGCTCTCCAAAGTTCAAAGAAAAGCTTAGATTGCGCCCCAAACTAGACAGTGCGATGCCTAATTAAATATTAATACATTCTCCAACAAGCGCAGTTCAAGTTTCCCTTCCGGAACTCAGGCCTACATTAATATTCTTATCGCACAGTTTACAAAATGTTTACCTGCTCGTATTAAATTACGAGATGCATAAAATGTTAGCATAGGTAAATATTTATATCAGATAAATGGGAAGGTATGCATGCGAGTCGTGCGTTTTATGACCGTTTTCCCTTTCAATATATCACGTATGCATTCAGCAACCGTATCAATGTTTATGGGTGGATGCAGCCCCGAAGAGAATTTAAATGGTGCAACAAAACGAGGTCGGTATTTATAAGGCAGAAGGTTTATCTGAATGCTTGCAACATCACTAGTAGGACACGGAAATGACTCTTTAATTATCTTGATAGGTATCAAAACGAAGGAAACCCAACTTAATTAAAAACATATTTGCTTTGCGAAGATTTGGAATTGGAAACAACCCACGTTTGTTAGAATGTTCTCTTGCTGGTGAAAAGTTAGTTTCGGATTTATTTGTTCTATATTGCATTTATGTTTGAGTGAGTGGGTTGGTCTACCGCCACCGGCTCGACTTTGGGTATCGTGAGATCGTTAATTCAACCCCACTTCCTTTCTAATTATTTTTTGGGTATCCAGGTATATTACCAATGATAAACCAAGCATAACAACCCTGAGGTTGGGTTTTCTTGAGAAAAGATCCGGAAGCTTGTTTCCCAACTATTTTGCCACCTCGCCAAAGTGGGCTAAGTTAAAAATCACGCAAATATTTGCGCTTGGTTTAATATTTCATTTGCAACTCACGAAAGACGCATTTTATTGAGGGCCCAAAACAAGAGAGGGATAAAATTAAAAATTAAAAAAAAATTAAATTAAATTTATCTTAAGGATTATGGTGGCGGATGTAATTGGCGAAAAATTGATCTGAAATGCCAATTTTTAAATTCGAGGGACAAATTTTTACAATAAATCTCACTACTTCATTCCTAATTGCTGTGACCCCAAAATTTTCAGAGCGATAGTTTGAATTTCGACATTGAAAGACCTGTGGGAGCCAAGCAGCACCCAAATATATGCCATTATTCCTACAATTTTTGGTTTTTGTAAGTTTTAGTCCCTAAGTACCGATTTTAAAGCTCTAGTTTAAAAAGCTTACGGCAATAATTGCTTAAAAATCTATCCTTCAGAACTAAAACTAACAATAGTAGAAAAATTGGCGAATTTTGGAATGCTGCATCGCTCGCGCAGGATGTCGAAAACTTGAATATATCACTTCCATAGTCACCCGAACAATTAAAAAAAATTAGAGCACCTAGCACCAAAGGAGATAAGTGAATGCGTAGATATAACCGTTATATACCCAATATAGATCATATTTTGATTATAATTTTAGGTCACGTTTTTAAAAGACTTCAATTTGGAGACATTACCTACAAGGAGAACAGGTAGCGAAAAATTCACATTTCAAGAACTATGCCGTAGAGCAGAAATTTAGAAAACTTGATGAAACCTGAGATTTTTTCACAGTTTCTTTTGCAAAATTCATCAGCACACCATAAAGGGGTATTCAGCGCCAAAAATCATCTTCCTTTAGTGTATTTTAGGCCATTTCCCGTTACAATTTTACAGCGATATTGCAATCGACTTTAGTACCTTGTTAGTACTTGTTTACGTTAAATTTTTAGTTTGTGACGATTTAACCTTTATTTAAATGGAATACGCCACATCCCCTTTGCAACTCTGTAGTGTAGATAAATTCTATATTCGTATTTAGATGACACGACTTCGGTGAAGGACATATTATTCAATTATTTTGATTTACGGGTCAGTATTTTCTTAGATAGTGACAAGACGAGTTGTTTTAGTTCTCGTGTTCAAATTTATATTTACAGTGAACGTCGGGCAGGTGAGTTTTCCTTTTAGTTATGTTTATTGTAATTAACGTATTTCCAATCATTTGTCATTCTCTATGAGTATGTTTGGCAAATATGATTGTTTAAAAATTGCTGACAGGGTGTTCTCTTGTTTATACGTACCCTATAATGTTTTACATTTCAAAATTTGTAAAATACCCGAAATCTAGCCTAAGGAGATCTAGCAACTCAAGCTATATGCGTAAATTGTTCATAAGAAAAGTAAATTAGGACATTCAGTACACCCACAAATTCATTTAAATATTGTTTAATAGTCTGGTTATAAATCTAACTGATTTAGTTAAAAAACATCAATTGGCGTGGGAAATCTACATATTCATGTTATGTTCGGCGTTTTCGCTTTATAATTTATGTAAATTTGTTTAGGGCATTTATATCTACGTGGAGGAATGCTTTGTGTTCAACAAGCAAAATTTCAACCCTGCTCGCTGCCCAGATACTCTATTGTTGATATTACCGCTATATAAAGGTTATAACAGCGCTTTGGAACAGAAACAACGTAAAGAATAGAAAAAATATAGGCCATATGAAAACAACATATAGTCCGGGATGTATGTAAGTATATAACAATATCTCTTTGTAGTAATAAACTAAAACCGCAAATTGTAGTCATTTGCTAAGAATTTTTATATACTTGTTCATCCTCTATTCCTTTACTCACAAATGTGTTTTTAAGAGGTTACGTTAATATGCATTAACAATATATCAATGACTAATATAATGACGTATAAGAACAGGTTATCCAATAAATGTAGGAATGCGCCTTGAGGCGACTATGCGTATGAAAGGCGAATTTCTGAAAATCCCTTGGAAAACGATTGTGATTCCCTCTCGTAAATGTAACGATTTACTTTCTAACGTAGCATTCAATTAACAATTACCAGGAAGTTCACTTTGTATGCGCCGACCTTACGAATTTGGACTGAGAAGTAAAAGAAGGTGATCATTTTTGACTTCCTTCTTTTCTTATTGCAACATGAAAATAATTATGATATCGATTATACGAAAGAGGCTAATAAATTCAACATTGACCAAATTTTCCAAGTAACCGTTATAGTTATATAAGCACACTGCCTGCATTGTACTTACACGTTTTTGCAAAACACACTGCCACACTGTACTGTAACGTTTTATAACCAGGATGTCTATTTTCTCTGGCAATGAAAGATGATTAGAAATTCCAATAATTGTGGTCTTTGTTTTGCAATATGTAGCGGTGATTAACGTTTTATTTTTATTGTCAGTAAGTATAATGCATCGATGCAACATAATTATAATTTTATCGTTGCGAGATTGTGCATTTCAATCTATTGATTTTTTAAATTGTTTTATTTCAATGTTGTTGTGTGTAACATCTTTCGACATCGACAGCCGACGAACTTAACAAGAACCCATTAACTCTCTAAGGAAATAGATAAATAATAATAAATAGGGGTAGGGCTACCACCACCTATATGAATTACTCTCTTCAAAAATCTAGCGCTCATCAAATTTCGCCCCTTTCATTATACCAACCTAACAATGGAAATCAAAATACATAAACACCCACTTCGATTCGGTTAAGCTTTGATGTCCATAAACCATAATAATAAACTTGCGTTGCAAAAATTAACAATCGGATCGATTTCATCTTTAACTTGCAACGTTTTTATTATAATGCGATTGCTTTTTTCACACCTGTGATGTCCAAAGCAACTTATTGCAACTACAAATTGTAGGATTACCAACAATGATACTGAAAACCACAATAAGAGGCAAAATCACTGTCAGTTAAACACTAAAATAACACACCCGGGGATGAAAGTACCTTGGGGGTCAAGGAAAAGGGACCAATAATCCAGAAATAGTATAATGACTACAAGACCACATTATACATAGAATAAACAGAGTTGTGTATGAAACTGAGAAAGAAAAGAAATAAACGAAGCTGTGTTTTTGACAAAGCTATATTAAAATAGTTAATTCGTCTCTCGCATACAAGTATTTTGGGAAAAAAATGTGCCAAATTCTTGACAGAACAGCATTTTCGCCCAAACCAAAAATCGCGGTTTTAGAAAAGTGTCTTTAAAAATGTTAAGTGTAGAAAAAAACGTTTCCTGCGAAAGATTGTTATTTTTTTATGTAGAGTAAGAATATTCAATCAAAAGTATAGGGTTTCCATTTGAAAAAAGTAAGTTGCCCTACACTTGACTCTTAAGGGCAAACAAAATGTGAAAATTGGCATAGCATCATTAAATACATTTTTTTGATATCCCCGCTAGTTTCCGCAATCCGACATTCAAATATAAGATTACGGAACTGTAGCCATTTTAGGGTTGATTGCAGGTCTTTTAAACGTAATCTGCGAGGAAAGGAAAGATTGTGATCTATAACAAAAATTACATTCCCCGCAATCGAATATTTATGCAGGTAAGAGAGAATTAATTTTCTTTAAATTACGAAATTTTAAAACGAGAGCGAATTTTATTTTTACGTAGAAATTATAGGGTTGGTTGTAGAACCCCTAAATATAATCTATCAAGGAAAAAAACAATTTTAGTTTATAACAGAAACAACCCCTGCAATCGAATGTACGTAGAAAAATTTTTATAAAAATTACGAAATTTTAAAACGGGCGCGGATTTTATTTGTAAAAAGCAATAGCAACTTTAAGGTTAATTCGAAGGCCCTTAAATATAATAATCTACCAAGGAAACAAAAAATTTGTACAAAAAAAAATACAAACCCACCCAATATTGCTATGGATGTAAGAGCGAACACCAATTACGAAGTTTTAAAAGGGGTGCGGCTTTTATTTTAACATAGCAATTTTAGGGTTAGTTGTAGAACCCTTAAATATAATCTATCAAGGAAAAAAACAATTTTACTGTATCACAAAAATTACACCCGCAATAGAATTATGTAGGTAAATTACGAAATCTTAAAAGGGGAGAGGATTTTACTTGTAAGTAGCAACTTTAGGGTTGATTGCAGGTCTTTTAAACGTAATCTATTAAGGAAAGAAAAAATGGGTTGTACAACAAAAATTACAACCCTCGTAGTCAAATATTGCTATGTAGGTTAGAGCAAATTTTCTTCACAAATTACGAAGTTTTAAAAGGGGTGCGGAATTTATTTATAAGTAGCAATTTTAAGGTTGATTGTAGGATCCTTAAAGATAATCTACCAAGGAAACAACAAGTTTTGGTGCATGTACAACGAAAATTACAACCCCTGCAATCGAATATTGCTATGTAGTACATACGCGAAAGCAAATTTTCATAAAAAATTACGAACTTTTAAAACGGGCACGGATTTTATTTGTAAGTAGCAACTTTAAGCTTGATTGTAGGACCTTTAAATATAATCTACCAAGGAAATAACAAATTTTGATGTACAACGAAAATTACAACCCCTGTAATCGAATATTGCTATCTAGCTACATAAACGAATTTTCTTAAAAATTACGAAATTTTCAAAGGAGAGCGGATTTTAGTTGTAAGTAGGAATTTTAGGGGTTGATAGCAGGGTTTTTAAACATTACAATCCTCGCAATAGCATTATATGTAGGTAACAGCGAATTTGCTTAAAAATTAAGAAATTTTATTGCCTTTATTTTTGAGTGAGCGGAGTTTCAGCCAAGGCTGCTCTACCAACTCAACCCACTACCTACCAACCCAACACACTAAAAAAAATCTTAAAAGGGGAGAGGATTTTACTTGTAAGTATCAACTTTACGGTTGATTGCAGATCTTTTAAACATAGTCTGTCAAGGAAAGAAAAAATTGGGATGTACAACAAAAATTACAACCCTCGTAATCGAATATTGCTATGGTAGGTTAGAACAAATTTTCTTCACAAATTACGAAGGTTTAAAAGGGGCGTGGATTTTATTTGTAAGTATCAATTTTAAGGTTGACCCTTAAATATAATTTACCAAGGAAACAACAAATTTTGGTGTACAACAAAAATTACAACCCCTGCTATCGAATATTGCTATGTATACATACCCAAGAGCAAATTTTCATAAAAATATACGAACTTTTAAAACGGGCCCGGATTTTATTTGTAAGTAGCAACTTTAAGATTGATTGTAGGACCTTTAAATATAATCTACCAAGGGAACGACAAATTTTGGTGTACAACAAAAATTACAACCCCTACAATCGAATAGTACTATGTACGTAGAGTAAATTTTCTTAAAAATTACGAAATTTTAAAAGAGAAGCGGACATTATTTTTAAGTAGCACTTTTAGGGTTGGTTGAGGAAGTCTTAACTATAATCTGTCCAGGAAATAAACAATTTTAGTCTATAATTAAAATTACAACCTCCGCAATCGAATATTGTTATATATATGTAGGAAAGAGCGAATTTTCTTAAAAATTACTAAATTTTAAAATGGTAGCGGATTTTAGTAATTTTATGGTCGATTATGGGACCCATAAATATAATCTACATATACTCAAGGGGTGCAATCCCTTACTTATTTAATTGTGTCTAATAGTCTTCACTCCACATTTGGAAATCCTAATACTTAACATCCGAAATCACTCACCATATAAGGGGTACCTAAGTGAAACACCTGTATTCCTGGATTCAGCGGTATGTATGTATGTATATGGTCAGTTGGCATTTACGTAACAATCTCCCAGTATACACATATCTGCATAAATGACTTTGCTCGTACAATTTCATAAATGTTACTGATTGTCACTTCTAATTTCAATTGGTGAAATTGGAATTTAATTAACAGTATTAATTAACAGACAGCCTTGCCATGTCTGAATTTACATAACACGTTATACTATGTAATACAAATAACTGATAAAATTCAATTTATAAATTCAGCCAGAGGGAAATTATTTGCAGTTATATCCATGTTTAGACTTGCCAGTTTTTAAAACCATTTACGTAATTGACTTCTTATCTTGATTTAATCAAATTGCAACTTGCATAAAAACCAAAATAGTTTTGCGCCACTAGTTTCTACGATATGTATTTAGCCACATTTCAGTAAAGAAAGTTGTTAAATATGGATGGATTTTTTGCCGCATGAAATTTATAGCTAGATTTAGTTTGGTAGCTCTAATTTCCATTTTACTTTCGTTTAGCGCAAATGCGTAACGTTACCTTCGTGTATGTAAAATGAGTGATGCGTGTTAATATATCTAGTGGTAGTGAGTTGTTCCATTTCTCAACTTTATGACCCACCGTTCCCTTTTTGAGATCAGCCGGGCGACGCCCTCCACAACGAATACCGTGCATAATTGCTGATATTATAAAAAATACGAAAGGTATATGAATTAATTTTCAGTAAAAAATGGATTCCAAAAATACTAATTTGCATTTAGTCTTCTGCTTCTCCCTCGGGCTTCGGGAGTTGTGTCAAATTATGCTTTTACTTTGCGTCCTGGTTTTCCATCTCGATCACTTAACAAAACAGTTTGATTTATATTGTGTACTTTGATGAGGCGACCAGGGAATGGCAATAACCCAGGCTAGCCTTAATTATGTGGTGGAAATGGGCATACCAACACAATACAAACGAAAACAATGCAATGTGGATTACGCAGT